GTTTATTTATTTATTTATTTATTTATTTATTTATTTATATTGGCAACCCAACTCCAGTGGACTCTAGGTGGCATACAAAACTAAGGAAAACACTTAAAAAAAAATCCATTCAATTGTGTCCAATTCTCAGAGACTTCTGGACAAGCCCCTGCAGTTTTCTTGGCAAGGTTTTTCAGAAGTGGTTTGCCATTGCCTGCTTCCTAGGGCTGAGAGAAAGTGACTGGCCCAAGGTCACCTAGCTGGCTTTGCGCCTAGGCAGGACTAGAACTCTCAGTCTCCCAATTTCTAGCCTGATGCCTTAATCATTACACCAAACTGGCTCTCAGGGAAAATATACATAAAAACAGCTAAAAACATTAAATCACACAGACAGCCCAGACTACAGCATTTTGAACCACCTGTAGTTTCTGGGTGGTCTTCAAGGGCTACCCCATGGGTGATCGCATTGCGATAATCCAGTCATGAGGTGGCCAGGGCATGAGTGACTGTCTGAAGGGCCTCCCGATCAAGGAAAGGGTGCAAGTGGCGCAAAGGATGAACCTGTGCAAAGGCCTTCCTTTGAGCAGTAGCTGCGAAGTCCAGAAGGACCCCCAAGTTGTGCACCAGTCTTGCCTGGGGAAGTGCAGCCCCTTCTAAGAACAAAGATCCCTGACCTAGGGGGTCCAAACAGTGATAGCCACTCAGTCTTGTTAGGACTGAGCCAAAGTCTATTCTGCCTTAACCAGATCCGAACAGCCTCCAGACACAGGGTCAATACATTGACAGCGTCACCTGAGCTGCTTGGGGTGAAGATGTAAAGTTGGGTATCATCATCATACTGATGATGCCACACCCCAAACTGTCAGATGACCTCACCCAGTGGTTTCATGTAAACGTTAAAAAGGAGAGGTGAGAGGGTAGAACCCTGAGGCACCCCACACAAGTGGGGCCATGAACATGAGGGAGTTATGAGGCTTGCCAGCCAATGTGCTCACTGAGCAGAAAGGCAGGTCTAAATCAAATAAGGACAAATTTTGACTTTAAGCCAGTTCCCTGGAGCGTCTTGAACACATCTTGTCTGTGTGTCTGCATGTGAGTATTAGTATGTAAGATTATGGCTACATGGAGCTGCCTGTGTGAATAAGGGGAAGGTCGTATCTGTGCATTTGAGTAGATACGAGTGTGGAAAGGTTATATGTAGAGGAGAAAATTTGTTTAGGTGCATGCTCATGTTTAGGTATACATAAGTGCTAAGTATGCCCAGGAAGGTCTGCTTGGTCCTGATGGAGCTGCTTCTATGTAGAGTATTCAGATGTGGGCCAGGATACTAAGGCCCCTTTGTGGTGGCTCAGGATAAAGAAAGACACCTTGGGGAAAAAAGGAAGAAGCAGCTGTACTGCTCCCTCTGCTAATAATGAGTGCCACCTGTTTAAATAAAAAACCTAATGGATAATTTGCTGAGATAATTTGCTGAGAGTTCTACCTGCTATTTAAATCCCTGGAAACAATGGGCAAAGTGCAGGTTTTTGGGGAGTTTTTTTTGGGGAGGAGGGTCTGTGTCAGGTCACGAGCTCTTGAACTTGGTGTATAGTTTGTTAAAAATGTCCAAATACTTTATTCTGAAATGCTGTCTTTTCTTTTGAACTCCAAATTTAAATAGCATATTTAGAACCCTTCATTTTACTGTATAGGTACCCCAAAGCCTATGATAAAATGGCTCCATAACAACAGGGAGCTTACGGGCAATGAACCTGGGCTTTCAATTTTGGAAGATGGAACGTTGCTGGTCATTGCTTCCGCCACACCGTACAACAGTGGAGCCTATATCTGCACGGCAATCAATGAAGCTGGAAACACAGAAATAACTTACAATCTGAAAGTTTATGGTAAACTAAACCCTTCGGTTTAATGTTACTTCAGTCTAAGTTTTAAAAAAAAAGGGTAATTGTTGAAATAAAAATTAGAAACAACCTTCTATTACATGTGTGAAAGCCAAACAGCCAAAAGGACTGAGAATATTAAAATCAGATCAAATCAATCATACAAATAAGTGACTCTGTATAAATGTTTACTTATTTCATTGCAGTTCCACCTGAAATCAAAGATCAGGACAAGGTGACTAATGCATCTGTGGCCGTTAATCAGCCTATAGGTCTGTTCTGTGAGGTATCTGGTGACCCTTTCCCAGTCATCACTTGGTATAAAGATGATATGCAGGTACATCAAGATGTTACCAGCTCTTTTGTTAGGTTCAAAATGAAATCAAGCTGAAAGCGTGAGATAAAAATTACGAATATTTTGGTTAGCTGGTCTTTGATACATTACAATGCTGGCAGCATTTCAAACAGGTATGAGCAAAACAAGATTCAGTTCTGTATGAGTGAATGTTTATTATTTTCATACAATCTCATATAGGAATTATGCTGAAAATAATGTTCAACCCCTGTTCTTCCTATAAACCTGACTGAAGCAGTATGTAAATGTAAATAAAAATACATTCCTTTGGGGTTGTAGGCTTTGCAGCCAAAAAGGATAGATTTTTTTTAAAAAAAAAAATAACTGCGGGCAAAATAAGATTCAAGTTCATGAAAAGTGGATCTTGATTCCAGCTTGACCTAACTGTGAAGTTCTCTGCATAAATGGAAATTCTTCTCATCTTATGTTGATCCCCCGAGAATTGGTCGAAGGGATAAGAGAGGGTGCTATAACTCCATAGAGTAATAGTTTCTTCAAGACTATTGCCTTCATACTTGCCCCATTAAAAGAACAATACAAGAGGCACTGAATTAGACACCTCTCTTCTTCATTCATTGCTGCTTTCCTATAAGAATCTATCCCATCAAATCCCAGAGGCTTATGATAATTTCATTAATAGGAATTAAGTTATTTAGTCTATGTTATTACTCCTGGTTGCAAGGCATGCTGTATAACCTGCCTAATTAAGCAAAGAAAATTAAATGGCATATTTAGCAGATTTAACCTTAACTATTCTTGAATCTTTTCAGGTTCTGGAGAGCAGTACTTTGCAGATTTTGAACAGTGGAAAGTTGTTGAAACTTCTTAAAGTTGCAACTGATGATGCTGGCCAATATTCATGTAAAGCCACCAATATCGCTGGGAGTTCAGAGAAATTTTTCACTATAGATGTGCAGGGTTGGTACTCCTAAATATGATTCTATGTAGAAGTTGCCTTTGGTATTTCAGAAATACCCGCTTAAATATGTAAAAGTACGAAGTATACAGCAGCAAATTAGCTCTCTTTAAAAATACATTATAAATGACTGACCATCCTTATTAGCTTGCATTATTATTTTAATGTGATATGGTCCCATCCAAAGGGCAAGAGAGCAACAAAAGAACACTCTTAGCCTAGGAGAATTATTCAGGACTCCAGAATATTTGCACTTGCCTTCTGTAGCTTTTAACCCTGGATATTTGAAATGATATTGATAATCCATGGAAGTATTGTTACTGTATATAGTCTTTTAGCTTATTTAACGGTCTATGTTTTAATCCTTCCTGAAACTCTAAAAATAGCCCAGTTCTATGAGCCTTCCCTGGTTCACAGTTCCAATTCATTCTCCTAATTAGTGATGCTGTGTCTCACTTAAGCAACCAGTACAAAACCTTCTCATCACAATTAATCCCCAAACTACCATTATTCAAATGTGAATCCTATAGTGAAAATAGACATATATTGTACAGGTTCCTACAATGAAGTGCTAGTGTGGATATTACATGCTAGTATTTAATATGCATTTCAGATGTGAAAAAAAAGCAAAAGAAATTAATTTATTTCCAGGATTAGCTTCCACTTTTCATTTTTCTAAAATAAAGGCACTTTACAGTATTTTAATAGTACTTCCTGTTTAATTACTGTCTTTTGTTGTTGCTTCTGTTGTCTCTTTTTCCTGCAGTCCCACCCATTGTAAGAGATATTGAACCCAATGAATTTTCTGTCATCCTCAGCCAAGAGGCAACTTTAGAATGTAGAGTCAGTGGGTCTCCTTTTCCTATCATCCAGTGGTTCAAAGATGGCAAGTAAGTGCTAATTCTTAAACCATTCCAACATAATTTATAGACTTAGAGAAAAATGAGAAGCTTGCTTCCTATCAATATAGTAAAATTAATGTGCTTTTGTTTGACGATATATCAGGTCCTAAAAATTAATTTAAGTAAAGAGAAATTCATAAGTCTGGTAACCATGCTACCTTCTCTGCGTGTGATGTTTTTCCCACTAGTTACCATTTTCTAGAGGAATTGTTAATGAAATTGACAATTTCATTATTAATGAATGTGTTCATTCATTGTTAATGAATGTGAAGTGAAAGAATCTTATATATCCTCTTCTATATCCCTAGGAAAGGAATTTTTCAGGATTTCCCAAAGTGTGAACTTTGATATTATTTTACTTTGTAGTATAACTATCAACATGTTATATTTCCAAAGCTTTATTTACAAACATGTTATTAAATTGATGCCTCTTTAAAACAATGGAAAACACTGATGAAGTTAGATTCTTGAGCACTTCTTGTTATTTGAAGCACACTGCCAAATTTAGCACAGGATGGAACTAGGCTGCTTCCAAACCAAGGCCATGTGCTCCCATTATTTTTGAGATCAAGCTATAGATCAACTTTTCCATAGTTTACAAAGTTAACATGTGCCATTCCACCCTTATTAAGTCCACTTGAGATACTGGAAAATATAATAACAGACTCAGGGAGATTGTTGTGTTCCTAAAGGAATCCCATTTATTAATATTCATGGCATCGTTTTGAATAGCCAGCATAATCTGGATTGGTTGAAATAGATAGTGTGACATTGGTGTTTTTACCTCAGTGGCATATTTTTTACTGGAATATCTCTTGAAGGATGTTTTCCAATTTTCCTTCAGTAGAAGGGAGTAAGTTTTCCATTTATAGCACTCAAGTTTGAATGTATCAGAAGGGCTGTATCACCAGTAAATAGGCACTGTTTGGCTAGTGTCTCTGTTTGCCCTTTAGAATATGCAGCATCAGTGTTAGTACTGCTTACCTGAGACTTCTGCAAGGAATGACACTGGAGATGGGGAGACACACACATTCAGTCTGTTCATCTCAGCATTTTTAAAGATGCATAGGGCTATAATCCAACATGGATTACTGCAAAATTATGAAGTTATGCTTTGAATCTTTCGTTTTCCAGGAAAAACTGGTTTAAATCTGGCAGTACAAATGTTAGCTGATAACAAGTACGAGTTCCTCAAGATTCTTGAGGAAATAACATTCGCATTCAATAATGCAGTTTAGAGGCCAACCAAAATGGATACAATACCGGTAACTTTAGTTTGGAGATGTGTACATTGTAGAAATATGCTGGAAACCATTCATTGATGTCTTCTGTCAGATATTTTGGCACCATTTAGGACTGATTTAAGTGGGCACAAGATAGCATTCACAGCATGACAAACAAAGGGTGTTTTTTTTCTGCAGGCCCCTCTTTTTAGGTGATCCTAATATTGAGATTTTGGACAAAGGTCAGGTCCTTCAAATAAAGAGTGCTCGAAGAATTGACAAAGGACTCTACCAATGCAGTGCAAGTAATTCTGCAGGCAAACAGTTTAAGGAACTCAAACTCATAATCCACAGTAAGTAATTACAACTATATAAACATGCACATCTTTTTTGAGGGGGTTGATCATAAATATGACAGAGGCCCTTGAACCCCAATTTGTGTTCCCATAAAAAAATAAATCAGCTTAAAACATTTATTTATCCATTCGTTTGTGCATTTCCATTCTTTTTATTATAGAAGCTATAAAACTGATCACTCCAAAAAATAATACCTAAAACACAAATCCAAGTATCAATAAAGGTGCTAAATGTTATATCAGAGGTGCTATTACTATGATGGATCTTTTGTCTGAAAACCCATTGTGCCTTATTCATTAGTAAAATTTGGAGAAGGAACTTCAAAGATGGTCTTCTCAGAGTTGAATTTACCACTTCCGTTCAAAAGAGAGACATCTGATGCTCAGTGCAGTGCTACAGAAACTGCTGGTTTTAAAATTGCTTTTTTTTTTTTTACCTTTGCTTTTAAAATGTGTAAATTGTTTTTAACTGTGAGTCACCTTGGGAATGTTTCTTGATTGAAATATGACTTCAGAAATTAAACATTTATCTTTGTTCTATAATAAGTGTGGCTTTGAAGCATAGTATTTATTATAAATGGTTACTTAGAAATACATCTTACTATCTTCAGTTGTAGCTTTGCTGTATGAAGCCACTTAACTGTCACTCAGTATTTAGATATATTTCTTAATTTGGATTTAGGAAATAGTGCTCTCACAGTGTCAAGCACTGCTTCAGCCCCAATTATTAATTTCTTATTTGACTAGAGCTATTTCCTTTGCAAATCTTTTTGAGAGATAGAAAATACAGTGGAGCTGGAGAGGAACAAATACATGCTTTTGTGCGCTGCACCATGTATTACACAAACCATGTCCCTAAGTTTGAATTTGACATGTTGTCAGCTACATAGTACACAAAATTTCACCTTCCCCTTTTGTCTATCAGACCCACTTTTCCTGGATTTTCTCTTGTAAATATTACATTAGTGTGGAGCCATTGTAAGATCATTTGGGCTGAATGACATTTGGATTATTGATCATGCAACACAGCCATAAGAATTTTGGATGTGAGTTTCACACATGCTTTTGAGGTATAAGAAGGCGAGTCTTTAATATTTCACCACAATCTGGAATGTTTTCATGCAGATTTTTTTTTTAACTTGGCTCCCAGTCAGGGAAATCAAGCTGATGAAGATAGTTTTGGGTAGGGGTGGAAAAAAACTTAGAAACAACTGGGGACTGCCAAATCATTATGGTGATTCTTTAAATTGAATCTGTCTCTCTGAAACAAACTCTGAATCTGAGTTCACACTCCTGGATTCCTTTCCAGGTGGAATTTTACTGAAAACAAAGGTTTATCTTCCTTCTGTGATTAATGACAGATTAGAGAGGATTGGCACACATTCCCCAGGACATGATTAGTGAGCATAACCTGAGAAATAAAGGCTGGCAGAAAAGAATAGCAGAGATGTACTGTATCTGTGGTCTAGCCATGACAGAACCTAGGCAGAGCAATCTGAATCTTGTATTGTCATTGAAACCAGAGACCAGTGATGGAATGCCAGAATGCTAAAGGACAGGTCATGACGGATGGTATGCACGAAGGCTCTGTGGAAGTGTGGAGAAAAGAAAGACAGAGAGCAAAAAGGGAAATAATTTGTAGGAGGGAAAGTTGATGTAATACAATCTGACCATATGTTACAGCACTTAAAAATAAAACACAACTGAGAACATAAGCTTGGATGAGGTTGTATTTCCAGTTACTTTTCCCAGTCTCTTTGACTCCAAGTACAGTCATTCAGAGATTGGATCTGAGGCCCAGACAAAACCCTATCTCCATTTAGTTGTCTGGCTTCTAAAAGAAAAGTAAAAAGAGGAAGAATTTGCTATGTTAAATAGCAAGTATCTCTGCTGTTACATTTATAGGTAATATAATAATGGGGCTATTTTAGACCATTAAATTCCCCTACAAATAATATCTATACAATGCACCATTCTGAATACATATAGGAATGTCTACCCACATGGATATGGGTTATGGTTAATTCAAGTATTTTCAAATTCTGCTGTACTGTGAAAGAATAAAACTAATGATTTCACTGGGGTTAGGGTTGGACAAGGAATAAACATACCAATTACTAAATTTTTATCATATCTTTTAAACTTTTATCAACATTGCCAAAATATGCATTGTTTTTAGCTTTTCCTGTCTTCCAAAAAAACCCTTTTTCATTTTGAAAGGCTAGAAATGTAAAATAATAAAGAAAAATACTGAACTCCACTAGCATGTACAATGCAGATACTCCAAAAACTGTGGTTATACAATGCAACCCATATCCAGAAGAAACTAACTAAAACAGCTCCTATGATGGGTGGATTCTTTTGATAGATAACCAAATCTTAATTTAGCTCTCTCTCAAAACTTGCTCCTGATTAAGCCTGGATCTGCTGCAGGCTTGCCTAGGCAAAGTGGAGATATGAGCTTTGGGCTTCCACCTAATCTCTCTTCCCCTTCTCCCTGGGTACAAAGTATCCTAGTTCCTCCTCACAGGGCAATAATCCACACCTTTACAATTCTCAGTTAAATGCAATCAGAATATTTATGTTTTACATTATTCAGATCTATGCTCATATCCATAGTATTATAATCATTGGCCTGTCTATATTTTTGCACATCAAGAATTTGCATTGGATGTAAGATTCAGTACTGTACTTGTTCTGGCTATGACCTAGCTGACTAATACCTAAGTGTCCCACTCCCATAATCATGAATGAACAAAAATTCCTTCATCTCCACTCTCTCAAAAAAGACAGGGAACATTCTAGTGCACTCCTCCTCTGATCAACATGGGTGTTGTTTGTCTAGTGGTTATCAAAACTAATAAATGAACTAAATAAATAAGCCCACTGTTTGAGCATACCACATGGAATAAAGAAAGAGGAACTGGAAAAATTATGAATGAATGCTACTGATAGATGTGATGGTACGACAACAAACCTGCAGGCAGGAATCTTAAGTGACTACAGTCAGCGTGGTATATTGGCACAACCACGTTCAAAAGCCTTTCTTTGGTGGCTTAATGCTAAATTGGGGGTGGGGAGAAGGAGAGTGAAACATCTACAACGCCAGGGCATGGCAGCATTACAAATAAAATGCTAAACAGGATGGGGAGAGAAAGTTTTCAGCTGCAGAATCCATCCTGCTTTCAAATGGAATAGCAACTATGCTGGCGTGTGGGGAAAATTCTGCTCAACAGGAGGCAAAGCATCCATGGGCTGCAGAAGGTAGCGAAAGCTCCCAGGGTCATAACAGTGCTGGCAATGCAGTACATTTCGAAGGGTAAGGTGGCTTTTCTTCATTGGTGGAAATGGCAGGGGAAGAACATATGTAGACTGGATTTGACCTGGGAAGATTGCTGTGCCATGAAAACTGCCAGCAGGTCAAACATTCTGCTGGTGAATTCATATAGGATATTTGGAATTACTCAACTTCAAGCTCCTTTTCGCTCATATCTCCCTCAAATATCTCTCCCTTTATATGATAGAGTCAATGACTCTGAAGATCTGTTAAAATCAGGTATGGAAGTTGGGAAATTACATAGGTTAGTAGGCTAAAGTATCCCCTTACCTAGATATGCTGTACATTCATTTGAGTTTCTCAAAACAACGGTGTCTTCTTTGTCATTTATTATCCCTGAAATGACATTTTTAGTGTATGCTAACTTCAAAACTCTTCACAGGTTGGGATCTATTCACTTTGGCAGTGTAGGTTGTATGTTGGCATGAATATCTTTCCTCCATCAGCAGTCAAGCACATTTAGCACTTGTTTGTTATAGCATATGAGTGTGCTGTGAGTATCTTTTATAAGCATCTGCAAATGATTAGTATACAGGGATTATTATTGAGTTGAAGACTATATATTTGCCCGAAACGCGAGGGTTTCTAATTATTCTGGGTTTCTAAACATATTGAAATCATTAGGGTGCTGAAGTGATGCTTCTGATTCTTAAAGTCACTGGAAGTTTCTTGGGTGAAATTTAAGGTCTTTGGTAAAACCGAAACCTGTTTTGACTTTAGTGTACTAAGTTGGGTAGCAAATGCAGAGACCATCAAGACAACTTTTTCTTTCTTTTAAATTGAACTGTTTTTATATGTGCATATGTTTTTAGGTGCTTGGCCCTTATACTTGGAAAGATATCACATTTAGCCAAGTTGAGCTCACCAAAAAATCTCTAATCTCTACCCTAAATTTTATAAAGACCCTTGGAAATATGACTTCTCTGGGGATGCATATCTGCCATGTTTACGTCTCATTGCCTGTCACTCAATTATATATACATGCAGTTTAAGGAGAGCATGGATTTGCAACCCTTTCTGAATTGGGCATTTCATGTTGATGGAGCAAAGGAAAACATAAGCATGGCCAAACTGAAAACCCCAAAATGGGCATGCTGAAAGTGAAAATCTTCAATCTTTTTTTTTTCTTCTTCCATAAATTGGTTTCCCTTCCATTCATTGTGCCTTAATCTTAAAACAACTGTGTTTATTTCTAATTTACTTACTGAGAATTGGAGAGAGTTGAATGAAACTCTGGAACCTCCATGAAGATCTAGCTGGCCACAGGAGTGAGCTGCTATTGCTTATACACTATAAGCAGCTCCAGTTCTTGTTTTGCAGCTCCATCCCATAAATCCTCCACCAGTAAAGAGATTGCTACAGATTAAGGGTACAGAAATCCAGATGACCACTAGATGGCAGCAAAGTCATATGGAAACTGTAATCCTTAGCTGCTACCTAGCGGTCATTTAGATTTTTGCAGGCTCAGTTTGGTTGCCCTATGCTAGATGGACTATGAAATATTTTGAACATAAAACCCATCATGAATACGGCTAGCAGATCTGAGATGTAAAAATCTGAATGACCATTAGTAGCCAGGAATTAGAATTTTCTGTTCTTTCCTTGTTGCTCTCTAGTGGTTGTTCAGATTTTTGCAATCCAGATAGATAGCTCTAATTATGAATAAATATGAATATTTTGAAACTCTGTTCCTTGCATATGTCATAGGGCTATGCACACTTTGAAACTTATTTGGAAGAAACGTGTTGGACCTTACCTGAGTGCAGCATCTGCAGCATCTCTGTTCAAGTTATTAAAGCAGCGATATCTTCTTTTCCAAGCTTTTCATGGACCTGAAAAAAGAAGCCAGTGTTTTAAAAGTCATTTTACAGAGTCAGCTCCTTAAGCAGCAGCATTTTTTTACAGGCTCACATGGAAGCCTGAAAAAGGATGTGGCTGTTTTAATTAGCAGCAGAGAAGTGTTGTGCTTGCACAAGGACTGAAGTACCTCCTCCAATTCACTTTTGAAATATGTGGAAGATCTAATACCTAAATCATGCTTCAAACATAAAGTTGTTTTTCAGTCCTTAATTGGCAATATTTTATTATTTTTAAAGAAACAGACACCCCATTTTCCCCTTGAAGAAAGGAGTCTCAAACTAGTTTACAAAACGTTAAAACTACATAAAACACAGTAACCACTTATGACAAGTGAAAAGCAGTATCCAAAGTTCAAATGCAAAGAATCAACATTAATTGTCAAACAAAATCAATCAAAAGCAGAATCAAAGGTTTGGAAATGAACTGAAATATATACTATTTGAAAGGGACTTTCCCCATATGAAACATTTCTTGCACATATATACTCAGCATTATAGAAAGTTTCCTTCTTTCTTAGATCTCTTATTAACGTGCTAACGAACGAACATTAACTAACATGTTAGCTTACTAACATTAGAAGAACATTTGACTAATCATTATTGCCTCCACATGAAGCATCATAACATGAAGTAGAATAGTCCATTTTTCTAGATGATCAGCTGACCCTAGGAAATGATTCCCATCTCATACCCAGCTCATACCACAGCAAACTATGATGAGGTTTTCTTTTCTTGGGGCAGTGTGAAGGAAATGATGCATTTATATGGTACATTGATTGATTGATTATGTGCTGTCAAGTTGGTGTTGAATTTTAGTGGTCATATACTGTAGATACATTTTCTCCATGACAGTCTGTCCCTAACCTGATCTTTCAGCTCTTCCAATGACGCCTCCATTGCCACTGTAACTGAGTCTATCCACCTTGCTGCTGGTTGTCCTCTTCTCCTCTTTCCTTGCACCTTTCCCAGCATTAGAGCCTTCTCCAGAGAGCTAGGTCTTCTCATAATGTATCTGAAGTCTCTTCAAACTGAGAACTGAGTTGACTTGTTTGATATTCCATTTGTTTGTTTTCTTTGCTAATAGGGTATATAAAGCTATTTTATATATTTGCTTTTGCATCTTATTGTTTGTTTTTCTATTCCTTTTCTACAAAGTCCCACCTGCAATTAAAGGAGAAAATATTACCACCAAGGTGTCAGCATTGCTAAATAGTACCTTAAAGCTGGATTGTGAAACAAGAGGAATCCCAGCTCCTACAATAACATGGTATAAAGATGGGAGTCCAATTATTTCTAGTCCCCAAGCCCTTTATTTGGAAAAAGGGCAATTTCTCCAGATTCCTCGTGCTCAAGTCTCTGATTCTGCTAAATATACCTGCCAGGCAACCAGTGAAGCTGGAATGGCTGAAAAAATATTTCAAGTAGATGTCTATGGTAGGAAGTGATCTCACCATATGCTATTTGTCTGTCTGCCACTTTTTCCACATGAGCAGTTGCAACACTGGAAGTTGATTTGTGTAACTTGGCAGCTTCTGGGCTTGATGGAAATGTGCTGGTCTCCTCCTGGCTGGTGACTATTTTGCACCTTGTTTTTGCCTTAGGCTGTCAGTGGGTTCAGGGTTGATCTACATTTAAGTGAGGGCAGGAGTCATAGCATAACATGGGTGAAAAAGAGAGGAAGAAGCTGCATCTTGAAATTAGTTGTCCTCTATCATTTTTCTCTCCTGGAGAATGAATTCCATTGTAGGTGAGCATTCTTGTAAAACAGTATAATTTAGCTCTCTTCTTCCTCCTAGTCACCAATGTTATGCTTTATATCCGCCTTCCTCAACAGATGATCGCAGGCATTCAAGGGGGAAAAATGATCTAATGTACATCATGATGTACTGTATACCTTGTGATTTACATACGTCACATCATGACATCACTGCTCTTGTATCATCATTTTTGAAGTAATCTTGATTTGCTGAGGATGCTGATGCTTTTGGCAGCCTGGTTCGTCTACACAGATCTACTTTTATTATATATCTAGATTAGCCTTAAACAGTGTAAGCCAGTTTAACCAGAAGCTATCCATACTGCAGTGTATGGATACATGAAAAATATATATCACTTTTAGCATAACTGAATGTAAAAGAAAATGCCTTAAGCTGAGGAAAAAAGCAAATCAATTGTAACAATGCTTTTTTTTTTTTTTTTGCTTGTGGGGAAAAAACCCTTTTTTCTTTTCTTCCAGTGCCCCCAATGATTGAGGGTGTCAGTGAAACCATCAAAAACAAACAAGTGGTTCTTGGAAGTTCACTGATATTGGAATGTAATGCAGCTGGCAACCCTGCTCCCCTGTTAACCTGGCTGAAGGATGGTGTTCCTTTAAAAGCAAGTGACAACGTCCATGTTGTGTCTGGTGGGAAGAAGCTGGAGATCCTGAATGCTGTTGAGGCTGACCATGGCCAGTATGTGTGTGTAGCTACCAGCATAGCTGGGCAACAGGAAATCAAATATGACGTGGAAATCCTAGGTGGGTAGAAACCATGGATTTAAGCATTTGGTTTTGTTTTGTTTGCGTTTTCAAAGAATACGAGAGTTACACATTCATATTGTACACAATTTCTCTATTTCTAATCCATACGACATTTGTAACGAGCATTTCTTAGTGACTGCTGCTTCTCTTTCTCTTCCTTCTCTAAATATAACTAAAGCACCCCTGGAGTGCTTTTGCAAAACTTGAAGAAATATTGCAGTTGATATTTTCACTCTAAGTTAGTACAGAATTGTATATAACAAAAGCTGAAGGGTAGCCTGTTTGGAATTTAGAAAGGGAATAAAATAAATATTATGAGGTGGGGATCTGATATTTTTTTGAAACTGGTTCCTGTTTAATCTGTAAATATGTTGATTATTATATAAAAGCAATAGCAATTATCCTATCAGATAAACAGTGTTGTAATATGGATTTTGGATTTCCCCCTCCAATTGCAGATTTACATTCTTCGTAATATTTTGAATTCAATATATAAATATATATATATATATTTAAATATATATATATTTAAATCAGGGAAGGTGTAATAGTATGTGGGAATGACCTTGGGAGACAGGAGGAAAAGCCACAGGCTAGACAGTAGTCTGATAAACAAAATGTGAGTTCAAAGGAGGGGTGGTGAAAGGATCTCAGAAGGGACCTTCCCTAGTTTTCTGGAGAGTAAAAGTAAGGGAGGGGAGAGGTACTTTCAGACTTTCAATATCGTGTTACTGTAACTTTACAATAAAGGTAGCATTTTTACCCATGGTTGGTACTTCTTGTCTGGTGTACCCTGAAGTAGAGAAAAAAGTCTGACAGCCTTACCACGTGGCACCGACACAAGCTATACCAAGGGAAACTGCGTTCTTGTTCTTACAGTGTTTGTCATGTTAACAAGGCTCTACATCATTCTGATAAATGTGCTCTCATTGAATGTAATGCTCTCAAGAATGTAATCCCTGCAGATAACAAGGATTGAGCATAGGTACTCTAAGCCTGAATGCACAAGCAATTTGTTCAAGAAAAATTTGTAACACATCAGGCAGGGAGAGGATAATACAAATGATACTTGAAGATTATTTTAAAAACCTGTAAATATATTTTGAAAATATTTCTACCTATGACCTTCCTTCCTTCCTTCCTTCCTTCCTTCCTTCCTTCCTTCCTTCCTTCCTTCCTTCCTTCCTTCCTTCCT